GTTTACCCTGTTTTACCATACAGCAAAAATGACCGAAACTGTATCGAGATAAATAATCTACTGGTGTGCTTACATTCACTCCCAGGGAAAATTGAATGCATCAAAGTAAAGACAAATAATGTCACTATGTATGCTAGAAGTACCAATCTGTAATGTTGTAGTTAGCTTGAGAAAAAGAAATAAACATTTTACACTTTTTTTGGGATGTTTTTGTATGAAAATGAGGTCCCAGGCCTCGAAGAAGCAGCCATTGTTACCATAGCAACAAGAGTGCTGCAACCTTTAAAAATGGCATTTTTGTGCATCCCCCTGAGTGCCTTACTGCATGCAAAATTTGAAGGAGGGTTGAAAATTTTCATTTCCCAAGATGTTTGATTCTTTCAGACTCATTCTTAAAGTTTTCAAGCTTGATGCATCATCGAACAAAAAGCAACCAACACTTAGCATACACCGTATTCACAAATGGCGGTTGTCCTGGGTCGAGTAAGCGGCCAAACACGAAAACGAGGCGTTATGGGATAAAAATATCTAGCTGCAGTCAGGTAATTCAGAGTTGGAGTGATTTATTGCCTTTTTGTGAGTATTTTGTTTTTAATTAAGAACAGTAAATTACTTGAGATGTCAAGTTCAAACATTAATTGTGTCCCGTGACGAGTGCTCGTCCATATTAGCAAATACCATCAATAGACTTTGACTATTCGTGGTATGTCTCACTTCTGTGTAAATAATTATGACCGTGTGTACAAAGGTTGATCAACTATTGTTTTAACTATTGTCAACGGTTTCTACTCGTCACAATGGGGTTGTCCCTTTACTGTACCGTTCGTTTCATGTCCCTCTTTGGAAACAAGGGGAGACTTCGATCTTAAAGGAAACTGTGGGTTTTTTTAGTTTCCGTCGAATCAAAATATTCACAGCAATGGCCACGGAAAACCCGAAGAGATATACATGTGTGCCGCAACTTTTACCAACGAAGAAGATTACCTGCTTCCTTTTTGTAAAGAAGAAATAGAACAGAACTTAGCAGCAAGAAAATGCATTTGGCAAAGAAAGTAATTCCTTCAAAGTTTGCGTGGCGAATTAAAACTTCTCGCAAACGACCTCCGCCATCAAACAGGTCAAGTCAAATACCTGAAAAAGGGAAGCGACTGGAAGATTTATTCACGAACGAAGAGCATCAAGATGTGATCCAAAACCTTAAGTTTATCGAGGGCTTCTCATACTAACACTTTAGGAAGCAGGTTCGTTTCTAAAGTGGACGATGTTAATGTGGTTTCAAATGAGCGCGATGCTGATGAATTATAAGAGTCACGAGAATCATGAAACTCACAGGCGCTTCACAGTGAATAAGCTCAAAACAAGCCAGAATAGATGGCAGATGAGTACCCAAGGTATTCAATGGATTATTTCAACTAACAGTTCTTCCATGGTCCACAGCAGAACAAGTGGCATTAACAAAATCAAGTAAACACGTGATGGGGGTGATGCTGGGAAATGAAGGCAGCTGCTCTAGATCATTTATCTGCCCAGTATTGGTTCCAGGGTATGGTTAAACACCTTCTTCCAGTTACCAGATACTTTATAATCTCAACTGCATTTTCCCCCTCTCTTAACATATATTACTTTTGAAGATCCAAGTTACCTTGAATCTTCCTGATGCCAGCAAGGTACATCCCTTTTGGGAATGGCAGCGAGGGCTCCCTATCCTGAATGACCATGGTCAAATCTGCTGAGAAATAGAAACACGTGTACTTTGAATCAATAATTTCATAGGTTTGTACACTAAAGAACTACTAGTAACATGGGAAATGTTACTAAAAAGTGGTAGCCTGAAAGTTCCACCAGCTCCTCTCGCTATTGTGGAGCGTAAAACAAAGCTCAAGCTGCTTGGCGGTACATTTGAGGATGACCCTGTGAACTGGCACTCACATATTGATCACGTGCTTGGTAAGGCCAGCAGTCGTATGTATATTTTACGAGTTTGTAGATTTTATGGCTACCCTAAGGAGCAATTAGATCTGCTCTTCCAAAGCCTAATTATTTCAGTCTTCACATACGCTATCGAGGTGTGGAGTTGCTGTTATTATAATAAATATCTTAAGAGAATAGACAAACTGTTGGCTAGGGCTTTTAAGTCTGGATATTGTTTGAAGAAATATAGTATTTGTGATATTTTAGCCACCAGAGATAGCAAACTATGGATCAAGATCACTTCAAATATCACTGCACTTGATGACCTTTTACCGCCGATACGTACTGGGCAACTACACAGCAGGGGCCATGATTATATATTACCTAGAGTTCGTACTTCACGTTTTAAATCCACTTATGTAAATAGATGTCTTTTTAGCATTGTCTGCCATTAATAGTTAGCTGTATTTTCTATCTTAATCTGTTTTATATTTCATTCTTTGTAAATAATGACACGGTTGATGCATTATTGCTTTTAATAAAGACCATTATTATTATTATTATTATTATTATCATTATTATTATGTCGCAGAGAAATCAACTGAATGCTACTTTCTAATCAGGCAGCACAGGGCGAAAACCGTAACCTGTGAGCCATGGAGTAAAAAAATAAATGTACATTAACTAATCCTAAAAAGCTTTTCCGTTGTGTCCTCCTTCTAACAGGAAGTCAAACTGCCACCTTGAAAGTCCGGGCAATATTCAGCGTGCCCGAGAGCACTGCCCTCTGCATCTTTCGCAGTAGGTCTGTGCTTCTGCCTCCCACCAGCTCGCGCATCATGACATCCAGCTTCCGTGACCACCCCCCGAGGGCATCTATAATGATGTTATATTGCTTCACCTCGTAGCCTGGGAACTGCTACCTTAGTTCCCAGCGAAGGGGTCCGTACTTCAGTGTCTTATCTTCAGCCTTTCTTGTCCGATTGTTAACCCACGGGCAGCTCATTTCCAGCGTCACGTCTCTCTTGCACATATGATTTACAATGCGTGCATCCACCCTATTGCATCTGACCTCTTGTTGATCAGCATATATAGGGACATCCCAATAAGCTTTAACATTCTCTGACTCATACAAGGGCTTCGCCTTGTCGGGGGAGTACCAGGGTGGTATCTCGTCTATAAATCCCTCATCATACAACAGTTGGTAAAACAGTACCTTCAGTGCTGTGTCGTGTCAAGAGAGATACTTGCTCTGGGCCAGCGCACTGCATCCTGACAAGATATGTGCTACACTCTCTGGAGCCTTGCCGCATAATCTGCACCTCACCTCGCCTTCTCCGCTTGTGTGGGTCTTCTGACTCGCGTATACTCGCGTTGGCAACAGCTGCTCGTATACCTCGACGAGTCCAGCAATTGTGTGTGATGGGCAGTTATTATTATTATTATTATTATTATTATTATTATTATTATTATTATTACGCAGAGGTTGCACATATCCCAGCTCTAAAATGACTTTGGTGCAGAAATAAGTTTTTCCAAAATATGGCTGCTTATGACTGTCGGTAACGCGTAAAATCCTGGTACTCTAGAACCATAAATCCTTTCATGCATCTGCTTCTTACAAAGAAACAAAACCAGAAATGGGGAAACCAATTGCATAATGTCTACTTTGAGCTTAAACTTGCAGAGGTACTGGCAGTCTACAACACAAGTCGTGTCGCCCCTACCGATGGAGGAGGGCACAGCCTCAACCACCTGTAATGGCATATTTATCCAAGCAGCAACTTGGATATTCCACTCTCCCCTTTACATATACCAGAAAAGTATAATTGGGATCAATCATAGTTAAGCGTGGACGAAAAACGGAGAAACGCCTGCTGCACGTATAGAAATTACCCACATCCTTGACACTGATGCATACCTCATGCCCATGCAGAGAATGTTGACAGGAGGAAACGACCAGCCCACATTTGATTAGATAACAGAACAAATTTTGCTACAACACATAGAGATGTAAGGTGCTCAAGGGTTTAAAACAAGGAGAGAATTATTGACGAGATGTCTCAGCACAAATTACAATTGCACTTCACCACCAGTCCTGCAGTATCTCTCAAGTAAATTTAGGTTACAGGTACATTCCCCAAACTCAAGCGTCACTTTACAAAGAGCCAGTTTTTTTCTGTGTAAACCCTAATACGAAAATGGAAAAGAAAAGTTCCAAAAACAAACAAAGGAAATCAACAGTTGCATTCAAGCGACGTCGATCACAATTAAACAAAGACCAGATTTCAGAAACCCCGAAAAACGAGGGCAAAGAAGGTACCATGTATGAAATTGGCATTGGCCTAAACCTAAACTCTTCTGGTTTTCTGATGATTCCTTTTGACGTTATTATCATATTGGAACAATAAAAAGAAGGGGTCACCGGACTTGTTTTCATGCAATAGCTTTCGTGAGTTTAGCAATTTCCACGCGCGTTCTCACGCATTTAAAAATCTGGATTCTATAAGATCGACATTTGCTCATAATCTGTTGTAGCTACCGCTGACAATTGCGTGTGCTCGCGCAAGCGCCTACGATCTGATGTTTACAGACGTTTACTGCT